TCTTGGGCTTAAGTGATTCTCTTGCCTCAGCCTCCCAGTTAGCTGGGACTACAGCTATCCACCACAATGCCCAGCTATTTTTTGGTTACAGTTGTCATGGTTGTTTTAGCTGGCCCGGGCCAGGTTTGAACCTGCCAGCCTCGGTGTATGTGGTCGGTGCCCTACCCACTGAGCTACAGGCTCCACCACACTTGTGGATTTCTAAAACTCCCAGTGCCCCACCCATCAGTGTGGCCTTGAACAATTTCCTGCCACACGTGTCCTCACAATAGAATGTCTTATCTTGGCTTTTTTGTGCTTCCTCTACAAAGTGGGTGCCAGGACTCTGTTAGACTCTCTAAAATCAAAATAATGACTCTCAATTGTCTTACGGGCAAGGCAGGGGAAATGTTTTATCTCCAAGCATTAATCTGTGCTTTCTGTGTACTTCCCTTTTCCTCTGGGAAATCTCTCTGGGATTCTAGATTCTATTTCCTCTCTACCCAACCCACACCAAAGCAGAAACAAAGAATCAGGTAATTGTCTGCTTTAAGGGGACACTCAGGTGTCTGAATACAAAAACCATTCTGAGCTACTCAGGAGGCTGCAATGGGAGGATCATTGAGTTTAGGAGTTTGAGGAGCTGGCCACTGTCAAACATCTCTGGGCAGGCTCAGCGCCTGTAGCTCAGTGGCTAGGGCACCAGCCACATACACCGGAGATGGCGGGTTCGAATCCAGCCCGGGTTTGCCAAACAACAATGACAACTAATAAAAAATAGCCAGGCATTGTGGTGGGTGCCTGTAATCCCAGCTACTTGAGAGACTGAGACAAGTGAATCACTTAAGCCCAAGAGTTTGAGGTTCCTATGAGCTGTGACACCACGGCACTCTACCCAGGGCAACAGCTTGAGACTCTGTCTTAAAAAAAAAATCTCTGGGCAGTTGTACGCCTCCCAAGTGGACTGTCAGTAGAGCAGTGGTTTTCAACCTGTGGGTCACAACCCCTTTGTAACAATGAAATACATTGCAGTATTAGGAAGGTTGAGAATCACTGGTGTAGAAGGTGGAACAAAGTTAGGAGGAAGAAACTAAGCCCCCAACCGTGGTGGAGCTGAGCAGCTGGAAAGAGGACCACATGGAGGAACAAAGAGTGGAGAACCAGAAGATCAGAGGTGGCATGGCAGTCACAAGCTGGGTCCCAAGTGCATGCAGTGGGGTTCGTAGTGGGAGAATCTGAAGAGCCTAAAGAAGTGGAGCCCAGGAAGGACCAGCAACCAGGAGCACACCAGCTGTCTCCCAGTGCTGGCTTACATCTGAGAGAGTCACACTCACCTTTCTCTTCTAATCATCACTTCTCCAGGCTGACCCTTTAGGATCAGAAACAGACACCAGCAAGAGGGGAGGAGGAAGGAGTAAAGAAAACAAGTATGACATGTCCTCACTATTAAATTGGAACTAACCGATGAGCACACATGTGCACAGACGGATGTCAAACTCGGTGGACATCAGTGGGGCACAGTGGTAACTCTGACTCAAGTATTTCAAAAGAAATCCATGAATCTATGTAACCAAAACATTTGTACTCCAGTAAAGTATGAGATAAAAAACAAAAACAAAAAAATAAACATGGTTGAGAGGATGGCGAAAGAACAAGCTCTGTATTTGGTCCAAAGTATCAGTTATACATATTGGACTGATCTGTAGATGATATTAAAATAACCAATTTGATGGAGGATCTCAACTAAGTGTAAAAATGATGTGGTATTCTTTTTCTTTTTTGAGACAGACTCACTATGTTGCCCTGGGTTGGGTGCAGTGGAGTCACAGCTCACAGCAACTTCTAACTCTTAGGCTTAAGCAATTCTCCTGTCTCAGCCTCCCAAGTAGCTGGAACTACAGGCACCTGCCACAATGCCCAGCCATTTTCTTGTTGCAGTTGTCATTATTGTTTAGCTGGCCCAGGCCTGGTTGGAACCCGCCAGCCTGTGTGTATGTGGCTGGCGCTCTACTCACTGAGCTACAGGCGCCGCCCAGTTTTATTTTTCTAATGACCGCTACAACTGCTTTCTTGCCAGGAATTAAATTTCCTTGGAGACACTACAGTTTAAAACCCCGTTAGTACTATGGTCAATTCTAAGTTATGGTATGTACTTTAAAATAAGTAAAAGAGGCCAAGTGTGCTGACTCAGGCCTAAAAGTCCAGCACTTGGGAGGCTGAGGTGGGTGGATTGCCTGAACTCACAGGTCCAGCTTGAGCCAGAGCGAGACCCCATCTCTAAAAAATAGCTGGACATTGTGGCTGGCACCTGTAGTTCCAGTTACT